ACATTCGACAACAGGGATTAGATACATACTTGGTTGTTTAAAATGTTCTTCTATGCTTAATGGGTTCCTAATGCTTAATTTTAGGTTAGACAACAAATGATCAAATTAGGGAATTAGGAACACAAGGTTATGACCAAACACCATGGCTTAATCATACTTTAGCTAGAATCAATCCGTTAATCTAATTGAACTTGGGAACTTATTTGCTTGAGTTATTTCATTTTTTCTTGTTTTATTTATTTTCTTTTTCATTTCTGTTTTGTGTAGGGGAAATGAATTGGATCATTCAATCACCAATCCTCGTGGGATCGACCTCGCACTTACATATGCTATACTACCAAACGGCTCGTGCACTTGCGAGTATCACAAGTTGAGGATGCAGTTGAATCCATTTTGGTGCAGCTGAACCGACGCAACATTATGTGGCTCGGAAATTTATATCCAACTGTGAACGTGCTCATAGCGAACCTTAAGCCTACGTATTTGGGTCATATCTTGGAGTCTTGTAGACCGTCATTACCTGCACATAGGGAGGCTACAAAGGCTTTAGGACAGCATCTTTGACGTTCTTTCACTATACCAGGCTTGCTTTCTTAATCAACTTATTTTATTTATTTATTTGTTGGTCTCTTTATTTTACTTCACTGTTTAAGCTTTATTTTATACATTATTTATATCTAAGTATTTGAATAAGAATTTTATAGAAAAAGGAAAACACAAATTTTAATAACACATGAGACAATATTCTTTTCAGGGGCTTGCTGAAATACTCTTCGTGGGTATTCCCCAGTTTCATGTAGGCATCAATCATGGCATTCCAGGACACCTGTGTCAGGATTCCAGTGGACTCAAAAACCTTTACTGCATTGCCATGGAAGCCTAGTTCAACATAAAAACTTAAAACTGAGTTCTTTACCTCCGCGGCAGAGCTCCAACCACTTTTAATGATAAGAGCATGCACCATGCAACCGTGCCAAAATTCTAATGCTTCAGCGCAAGCATTCATCAGAGCACTGAAAGTCCACTGATCCGGCTGACGCAAACTCTCTATCATCTCATTCAACAAATCCAAGCAAGACTTCACTTCCCCATATCGTGCATAACCCACAATTATAATATTCCAAGCTATCTCCACCCTTCTCGGCATCACAGAAAACAAGTCCCGCGCAACGTGAAGCTGACCAGAGTTTGTTTGGGCAAATAAAAACGAACACCAAGTTATTTCATTCCTAAGTTTCATCTCTTCAAACACTCTCCTAGCACTAGAGGGATTCAAACACTTCCCATACATATCAATAAGCGAATTATTAACCGGCAAGTAGGACTGGTAGCCCAAAACAGTTACTAAAGCATGAACTTTGGTTCCACACCGCAGATTGCATGAGCCAGCCCACGCGCTTAAAGTTGCGGTGAGGGTGAAGTGATCAGGCCCAATGTCAGAGATTCTCATGTGGTGGAAAAGAGAAATGGTTTCTTGGTGAAAACCCAGTTGGGTATAGCTAGTAAGCATTGCATTCCAAGCGATCGAGTCTCTATGAGACATTTCGTCAAATAGCTTGCGGGCACATGTTATCTGACCGGACCTTGCAAGGGCAAGGGCTGCTATCTTTGAAGTAGTTTGGAACAAAGTTCGAGTGCATATCATTCTATTTTGAGCTCTGGAACAAACCCATTAATCTACATAAGCCGTTTTGGGTGGGAAAAATGCTGCAGGTAACGAAAAAATAATTGGGCCCTTAATGAGAAATGAGATAGATGAATAGAAATGATTGAATAGAGAATGAAATATTCGGTGTGGAACCCAATTTTATTATGGTCAAATTATAGATGAATAGCCCAAAACTCTTGTTATATTTTACCACATCATGGCGGGACAATGACAAAACAAGAGTGCAAATATTTGAGCATCTAGCCGTAAAACTTAAGCTAATAAATTCTCCTGTCCCAATATCCTCCACAATAAGCAACTTTTGGGCTTTCGGCTAAAAGCAAATCCCCTAATTACTTGGTTTAGAGAGAGCTCTCTCTGTATATTCATAATATGAAACTTTTTCAAAGGGAAAAATTTTCCCTCCCTCCCTCTTTGTTTTATTTTTTTTATTTTTTTTCTTTTCTGGGTTTTTGTTTAAAAGTTTTAAAACTGTATATACATGTCCTTATTTCATGGTTGGTCTTTTCAGAGCTGTATATAATTGGACCAAAGCAGGGAAAGAAAAAAGGCAAACAAGCTAAGGGTTGGCGACCAGAATGGACATCATGGAGGCACATTATAAACACATTTTGGATATAATTTACCTAATAATTTCCTATTATGCAATAATATAACTTGTAATTTACTTACTATGGGTATATTAGAGGGATATTAAAGCCAACACATTTGTAGGTACATTATATTCTATGTATTGATAATAATTTACCTATTATATTGTATTGGATATATACATATGGTAGGTATATTAAAGCCATCACATCAATAAGAGTATTTTTGCATTATATTGTATTGGATATATACATATGGTAGGTATATTAAAGCCATCACATTAATAAGAGTATTTTTGCTCACCACTTTAACCCAAGAGTACACCTTGGCGAAGGATAGAGAGTTTATTTTTAATATTATTTAATTATTATTTTACTTTATTTTTTTAATTTTAAATACTTAAAAAAATTTAAAATCAAAGAGTTAACTATGGTTACAAGTACGGACAGGTGTCAAGTTATAAGAATTGTGGTGAGAGTACACATTGAGTTTTGCTGTTAAGCAAATATGCTTCCAAAAAAAAAAAAAGGGGAGTCATTGATATGCTATAAATGAGGAGGTATTAATCAGAAATGAGAGACTTAATGATATGCTTCTAAACCGTCAAGTTGACTTAAGTCTGGTGGCAAACAAATGTAAATATGTAGGAGTACTAGACATTTTATATCTTACGGGCATTTTAGTTTGAATTTGGCTTTTATATATAGATTTCAAAATTAATTAGTTGATGTCTCGGAAATAGAAACTGTAGGGGCTATATAGACTAGCCCTACTTTCTTCTTTAATTTCACTGCATATTCTCGTACAAATCTACCCACTGCTAATCAACAGAAGAAGCACGGGTGTTTGGTAATTGGTACACACAATTTACTTACTATTTTAGACTATAATAACGCTCCATGAAAGACCTAATACGGTGCCGTTTCTGGGATCTTTGATAGAGATGAATGGTATAAGAAAGCAACGGTGCTTGTTGCATTAAACCTTATTAACAGCACTCATATCATGGAGGTGAGGGGATGAAATTATTTTTCTTCTCTGCTGCTTGACTTGAAACACAAGGCATCAACCCTAAGTACGCAAAGATGCTGAATTTCAAGAACGATCTACAAAAACTTGCTCAAGAAAATCAATTACACGTTTCTTATGCAATATGAATTATATATATATATATAGATATATAAAGAATTAGTCAAACTAACCTCAAGAATGATTTTCCATAACTTTTCTAAAGAGTTCCTTTGGAGCTGCAATTTACAGTTCCAAAAAATAAAACAATAAGAGAAACAAAATAGAGACAATATTTTTGGTACAATTTGAATTCTTTACGCAATATATAGATTATTTTTACCTGGCAATCCAGTGAACTTTTCAAATTGTTCATATGCCTGTCCAATGAACATCTCCAACCCACTAACAACTGTGACACCACACTCTGCTGCTTCCCTCAAGAGTCTGGTCACTCTGGGGGTGTAAATGGCATCAAAAACCAATGAATATGATCTCAGAGCATGCTGCAAAAATGGAAATTAACCCATTAATTCTCTTTAATTTATTTAATTAATTAGTTATTTATTTTCAATTACGAGCAATTATATGCATGTTAGAAATACAAGTTAATTGCAATTGTAGCTTAAGTTGTTAAAAGCAGTCACCCCTGTATCGAATCCCATTGTCCTTATCGTTTGTATAAAAAAAATAAAAGAAATACATGCTAGTTAGTTCAAACCTTGGAAATGGGCGTGTCATCAACTTTAGGCTGCATTCCAATAGATGTTGTGTTTGCAAGAATCATACCATCCTCTGGGGGGATGTTAGGTAGATCATCAAGAGACAAAGCATCTCCACCCACTGTGTCTGCAAGTTCTCTGGCTCGATCTTGAATAAGACAAATAAATAAATTGTAAGTCATCACCAAGAAGAAAATAAATAGTCTCACTGTTTTTTTCTTTCTTAAATATATAACAAAAGTTAGAAAACTAAATTATAATTTAGCCAAATATTATTGCATCATGTAAGGTTTTGCAAGTAATTCACTTTACAATTTACCCTAAACTCCTAGAAACATTTTGATATTGATGTTTTTTTTTTCTTCTAAAGAGGATTTACAAGTATATAATCTGTTATGATTGGTGAAGTCGCATATTTCAGGAAAATCTATAATTTTCTAGGCAATATTTGTTTTCGAATAATTTGCGATGTAGATGTAACTACTCTTAAATATTTGAGCTATACGCCTCTATTAACTTCTTTAACACTAAATAAAGAACAGCAGCACAACCCAATAAAACGCCGAAGGCTCTGCACCGAACATAAAATAAAATCCAATATCCACAATTAAAAAGGGCACCAAGCCCAACAAGAATTACGTAACAAAGTTCAAAGCATAAAGGCCCAAAACACAAAAAAGTAACTAATGCCCAAAAGCAAACCCCTACAGACGAAAGTTTGATGTTCATTTGACCTGAAAATAGCATGCATTTATTTCTATGATTTTTGTGGTTCAAGTAAAAACAAAGATTTCTGCCGACAGGGTTTGGCACAGTGAAAAAGGGCCCTGACTTACAGACAATAGGTCTCAAGTTCAAACCCCCATTACATCTTAGTTGTGTGCGTGTGTGTGAGAAACCCTCTCCCCTGTCATTTAGACTATCGCTTGTAACCAAAAAAAAAAAACAATGATTTCCAGTTTCAATAATTTGTTCTTTTTCAAAATAGATTTTAGGCTAAATTGTAGTTAGATTTATATTTACATCCTTGAATTCCAATAATAACTTCAATTGCCATCAAATTATGTCCCGCGTTGCACTAGTGGTGTTTTCCGTCAAATTATTCTGTAGTAATAGTATAATTTCTCGAAATAATATAAGGATATTTCAAACAAAAACAATCATCCAAGTGAAAATGGTGTGAGAAAACAGAAATAGTTGATGAGCAATAAAAAAGAAAGAGAAGTGAACCATAGGTGCGATTGGCGATTACAACCCTTGCTCCCCTCTGCTTTGCACCATAAGCAAGTGCCTTGCTAGCACCACCTGCCCCAATCACAACAAACAGCCTACCAGCTAAAGCTGAACCACTTGTTGTGTTCTTGCCATTATTATTATGTGAACCTGTAAAAACCACAGTGCGCAAAACTCTAAGCTTCATATTACAAGAACAAATAATCAAGCAAAAGCATTGCTAGAGGAAACCTTTCAGTCCTTCCTCAATGGCAGAAATAGCACCAACATAGTCGGTATTGAATCCGAATAACTTCCCGTCAGCCGGTCTCCTTATAATGCAATTTATAGCCCCTATTGACTGAATATTTTGATCAAGATTTTAATCAAGCAAGTATGATTTAAAGGGCCAGCCAAAACTTGTCCAACAGAAACTGCCAGCATCTTAATAATATGAAGGGTTTTGTTCACTACCTTGGCAACTGGATCAACCTCATCACAGCACTTAAGTGCAGCTTCCTTGTGAGGGATGCCTACGCTGCGTAAGAAACGAAGAATGCGAGCTGTGAACTTGAAGTAAAAAGAGCAAGAACAGAGTAATATTCGATAGAAAATTAAACCTGAATCCAGCAAAATCCATGGATGAGTATGTCTGGAAAAATTTCTGAATGTCATCTACCAACAAATGTGCATAAACTCCATCGAAACCTACTGACTTGAACACTTCATTGTACAATTTTGGTGATTTGCTGTGGCTGACAGGCTTGCTAATTACGCCAAACACTTTTGTGTCCGGCCCAATCTGTCTGAAGTTGTATAGATGTATTAGATCCTTGATTGTAGGTTGACTAGGAGCTGAAACTGTCCCTGGCTCAAGCATTCCATAAGTAAGATAACCGCCAAATTTTGCAGAAAGTATGCGTGAAATTAAACCCCTTTCACCCAGTCCAAGTCCTATCAATGGAACCTGAAATTCCAGAGAAAGTTTGTTACAAATCCATTCAGCTACAATTCAAATAGATTGGCATCATTAAAATGGTATCTGAAGGAAGTTTGGCAATCTGGTGGAGTAGCCCAACTCCTTATAAGCGCTCACAAAGTTTCTTAACTTTCCGACATGGGCCAATTCTTCACATCCTGACGGTACCTAAACAAAAGGAAATGATGGGCAAATCTTAAAAAGCATAATGCAAAAAAACATGCTACCTACTCAACTTACTTGAGAATGAACCGCGATTTGAAAAGTGCGTGCCACATCAGTTATATCCAAGCAAGTGGTTGCAATCTTAACTATGTCAGCTCCAGTGGCTTGCATTGCTGCTACAAGATTGCCAATAGCCTCCACAGATGGGGTCTCTTCAAAGTTGTAAGAAGATACAATAACTTTTAACTTTTCAGGCTTCTTTCCTTCTATAGAGCTAATAAATTCACGAGCAACCTTCAAAGACAAGTAATAAAAGAGCCAAATTTCTCTTATGCCATTAAAAACAAACAAAAATTATTTCAAGTTATATACATTTGTTAGAGAGCAACCTGAAGCTCAACATCAACGTAATCAGCTCCGAGATCC